GGGGATCCAGCCTTGACACCTTACCATGCTACTTACCCCCGCCTCCCCTCTCTCCTGGAGCCTCAGCGAGCTGCATCCAGGAGCAGCCCTGGACAGCGCTGCAGCGGCATGGCTCCGGCAGGACCTGAGCTCTTGATGCTCGGCCCGCTGGAGCTTGCAGCCCCGCGCCCTTACTACGCGGCTCTGAGCAGGAGGAGTTCAGGTCCTGCCGGAGCCATGCCACTGCAGCGCTGTCCAGGGCCACTCCCAGACGCGGCTCACTGAGGTGCCGGTGGATGGGGGAAGGCGGGGCCGGGGCCGGGGGGGAGCCTCAGACATTCTTGTGGGGGCCCCTGCAGGAGGAGGTGTCAATACCAAGGGAGGGAAAATTGCTTTTGTAGTGAGCCAGCCACTCACAGTCCCTAATCAAGCCCACACTTGAATAGGGACTCAGGATTTAGACCCTGACCCTGAAAAAAACTTTTGACTTCACTAGAACTACTCTCAGTGCATAAAGTTAAGCATGTCTGCTGTACTGGAAGTCCAAGACACAGCACCCATTCACTTCAATGTTACAAAATTAGGTTTTTATTTATAATGCAAAAAGATATGGACTTTGAATCATTCTCCTGTGATATCCACCCCTTGCCATTGGCTACTCACAGAAATTACAGCTCTTCTGCCGCCAAAGGAGCAGTGTGTCCCAATTTCCTAGTTTTACTGTAAGCAACTGCTCCTATAAACCACACAGCACTTTTGAGCATTTATAATAAAACAAAAGTAGGTTTATTCAAGAAAGAATAAAGATTTGATTAGAAATGAGAGAGTGATGGAAACAAGTGGTTAAACACAAAACAAAATGATAAAATGCAAACCAATAAAGTATATTTCTTCTCCTCTCCCTCCTCCCCCACCCAAGTTCAGTCTGTTGCAGAGCTAGCTGGCTAACTGGCTGCAAGGAACCAGGATCCAATTTTTCATGAAAACACCTTGCACCTCAATATGTCACCCTCAGTGAAAGGATTCAAAATACCTCTCCCTTCTCCGTGCTATATTGAAGCAGTCTTATGTTTCTGTTCAGAGACATGACATATCCATGTCTTGTGAAGTTTCTTTTTTACCTTCAAGAAGTTTCATTTGTTTGCTATTGCCTCTAATAGTTTTCTAATGAAAGACTTGGGATTGAGGAAGGCTAAACAATTGTGCCTTGCATTGCATCACCAGCTAAACAGGGCTAGGTGACAACTCTATCCTGCCTGAATGTGCCATCACTGAGACTAATTTTTACTCCAGGTCCACTAAAGAATACTTTCCATATAAATATATTATTCCTTAAATATTACCCATACATACATCTCACAATGATTATGAATTAGGGCTGTCAAGTGATTTAAAAAATTAATCACAATTAATTGTGTGATTAAAAATCAATTGTGATTAATCGCTTGATTAATCGATCTGTTAAACAATAATCAAATACCGGTTATTTAAATATTTTTGGATATTTTCTACATTTTCAAATATATTGATTTCAGTTACAACACAGAATACAAAGGGCACAGTGCTCACTTTATATTTATTTTTATTACAAATATTTGCACTGTAAAAATGATAAATAAAATAAATAGTATTTTTCAATTCACCTAATACAAGTACTGTAGTGCAATCTCTTTATCAAGAAAGTTGAACTTACAAATGTAGAATTATGTACAAAAAAAACTACATTCAAAAATAAAACAATGTAAAACTTTAGAGCTGACAAGTCCAATCTGTTATTTATTTTATTTATCCAGCCAATCGCTCAGACAAACAAGTTTGTTTACATTTACAGAAGATAATGCTGCCTGCTTCTTCCTTACAATGTCACCTGAAAGTTATAAAAGGTGTTTGCATGGCACTGTTGTAGCCGGCATTGCAAGATAATTACATGCCAAATGCGCTAAAGATTCATATGTCCCTTGATGCTTCAACCACCATTCCAGAGGAATGCATCCAGGCTGATGACAGGTTCTGCTCGATAACGATCCAAAGCAGTGTGGACCAACACATGTTCATTTTCACCATCTGAGTCAGATGCCACCAGCAGACGGTTGATTTTCTTTTTTGGTGCTTTGGGTTCTGTAGTTTCCTCATCAGAGTGTTGCTCTTTTAAGACTTCTGAAAGCATGTTCCACACCTCATCCCTCTCAGATTCTTAAATCTTGGGTCGAGTGCTTTAGAAATTTCACATTGGTACCTTCTTTGCATTTTGTCAAATCTGCAGTGAAAGTGTTCTTAAAATGAACAACATGTGCTGGGTCATCATCCAAGACTGCTATAACATAAATATATGGCAGAATGCGGGTAAAACAGAGCAGGAGACATTCAATTCTCCCCAAAGAAGTTCAGTCACAAATTTAATTAATGCATTATTTTTTTAAGGAGCATCATCAAGATGGATGCATATCCTCTGGAACGATGGCAGAAGCATGAAGAGGCA